GTTCCCCCCCCCCCCCCCCCCCCCCCCAGAAATTCCCTTTCCAATTTTTGGCAGGATCGGAAAGAGTTCAAGGAAATCAACATTTTTGGCGGCGGCAGAATTCTAGTTTCTCTGTATCGCACTTTTTCTTCCTATCTTTTTATCTCGTCCTGGACGAAAAATCATGATATTTTCTCCAAAGTTTTCCATATTCAATAAGAGAATTCTTCCAAAGGTCCCGGAGACACTCTCATTCCAAAACTGTTCACATCTTCTCGTCGATCTTGTATACTATTGTCGCAGAACATCAGCTTGATAAGCCCATTCGAGTTCTTTCGCTCACGAATCGAAAAGTTTCACTTTTCAAATATGTATACATTGAATCATTGATCGCAAACATTTCTTCGACTTTCCATGCGGACTTGACCACTTTGAAAAAAAATTGTGGAATTTTTTTTAATCGTTCTCGAAAGAATACCATTGTAGACGTTTTGCTTATGCGTTATTAGAAGTTCCAAGAGGACCAGAAACCCATCTTGCATAGAAGATAGCGTTGCAAAGAAAACTTCGTAAAGATCATTCCGTTTCTACGCCAAGTTAACAAAAATTACTTGAATGTCTTGAGAGTGAGCTCATTCACTGTGTTGATATTTCACTGGCAATGAATTAAAAACCGCGGATTTTATGCCAATCGAGTATGTCAATCGGCTGCATTCCTCGAAGGCGTTGAAAATTCTTCCGAAATAGTCAAGCCTACCCGGATAAGCAACACTATGTAGTGTTAGATTTCATCAGAGCAAAATCAAGGACAGGGTATTAAATTTCTGTCATCCCGATATCAATTCTTTGCGCTCCTATTTCCTCATTATTGTGAAGAGCAGGAGCTCACGTCAAATCTAGATTACCCGGATTCCAATAAGCTTCAGATTCCCTACTCTATAGGGATTGAATCTGGTGAGTCTGGTAGACTTTGTGAAGATTATCCATCTCGCGCAGGTAATTATGAAATAATGTCGACCAATCGACTGCGATGAGAAGTCTAATCCTTCTACCGAAGTTGAACCTCGACCTTCAATTTTGAAAGGAATGAAAACTTTGCAATTAGGATGCAGAACTGCCACAAGTTAAGTTTACTCCGTTTTTTTAAACATTTGATGAGGATCGAAATTAGAGCTCAAAATTGAACCAGTGATAAGAGAATGAATGAATGAACAGAAAACATTATTTGCCGCTTTTCAGCGTTCACAAGGTTANATGAACAGAACACTTTATTTGCCGCTTTTCAGCGTTCACAAGGTTCAATCAAGATTTCCGGAACCAAACCCCCTTCCCATCCAATCCAAATCCACTCAATGACATTGAATCACTTCAGGTAAGAGAAAAGACCGCACAAAAACCACCTCTATAAGTCATGACATTGTTTTGCAGGGGAGTTTTGTTTCTTCTGAAAGTTTCTCCCTATTTTATCAATTACTTATTATATTTCATGGCTTTGGAAGTAGATTTAAGACACCTTTTTTTAGATCAGTTGATTAACAGTATACTGTGTATTATTTTGAATCACGAGCTGTAAGGAGAATTTCCATGACACGTGGAATATTTGTATCTTACGCGAAGGTTTGATATCAAATCACATCCACTTCCAGAATCGGGCAATGCATGCCTGAAAAATTAAGTAGATTAAATTTAAAAGCGACAAAAACTGGATCCAACGAAGTCATCTGACAGAATTCCATTTCTTCGTGGTACTTTTCCCCTCGTTATTAATCGTCTGGGTTCGTTTCTTCTGACCCGCCTAAGCAACAACCCCTCGATTAATAATGACGAGAAGCGACAGAGAATTGAGCCGTTCAAGAGAACGTCCTACGCAATCGCACATCAGCATTTTCATGGCCGAGCCCACACAATGCGCTGCCTCCTGTTTCTCATTGGAATTCCAGCGCCTCCCAAGTGAGGCTACTTCATGTTTTTTATTCGTCAAAAACGCGGTTCTGAGTTCTGACTCGTGTATGCCATCCAATTAGATGGGATATCTCAGAGAACTACTAAGATTGAGCTATCTGATGGATCTATAGGGCAGTGACACTATGTTTTGAACGGGAAAAAAATCCCTGCGTCGAAAATGCGTAGTGTCAGTTGCGTCACTGAATGAATAAAATCGACGATGCATTTTGAATACTAACGTGTGAGTGCCGGTAGCATTTATGAAGAGAAAACATGAATGGTGCCAGCGATTGACCTAT